TGATGATATGCAACGAGAATAGGAGCGTCAACTTGAGCGTGAATTTACAAAGATCTTCACGTTGTACGAATGCCTCGTGCACTAAGTTCCTAACAAAATTATGTTCGACCATCACCATTTTTTATGACTTTTATGATTCTTAATACTTACGGGCACCAATTGATTGAAGAACTTTGTCGCTTTCTTGATCGTAGTGCTTAACATGGATTTCCTGGTTTGATTGGTTTGAGGGGAAAATCATATGGATGCGTATACTGGATACAAGAAGAAATTATCCATTGCCCTTGAAGTTGCAGCGTCATACTTCACATAAATTTGAACTATCTACATTGGTGCAATTGCATTTTTAATTGGATTTGTGATTTTTTTGACACAACACCATTTTTGCAAGCCAACTCACTTTACTTTCATTGTACCTACATTGGTGCAATTAACTTGTAATTGCATATGGGACCTCAATTTTTTTAATGCATTAAAAAAAATTTTAAATACCTTTTTATCCACATTGCAAGTAAATAAAATAAAATTTTATTCTTTTTTAATTTAAACGAAATATATACAATTAATTCATAATTTTTTTATTACTAATTTATGAATACATTTTGATCTTGAGGATGTATGAATGAAATTAAAGTAATAAAAATTTAATTTTCTATTTATATAATTATGTATATTTTATTGTAATTAATAAAATTAGTATATGATGCTATTTACTCCCATTGATACAAAAATTACAATAATACTAATTTAACACATGGTCCATGGAAATTATAAAAAAATCAATAATAATTAAATCTATGGCACATGCAGGCAAAAGTTGGCATTGAAATCATAACAAGAAAAAAAAAATTATAGCCACAAATTCCACCATGGCTTGCAATGCGACTTTCACTAGATGAATGTTTCCATTTTTGCAAAAGCCACTCATATGAGTGCAATGGGCAAATGAAATTGCAAACTTGGGCCACGTAAGAATGAAAGTGGAGAGAGTTTCTCCGATGGAGATGCTCTTAGAAATAAATGAATCGAACAATAACATCAACACTTTTGGAATATCCCCACTTTTCGATCAAGTATTCAAAGGAGTACTTCACATAATCATTTATGAGGTAAGCGATAAGATGAATGATCAATGCTATTACTGTAGCTCAGCTCTATTCCTGTTACTTGTGAAGTAAAAGAAGACAACTTAAAACTATTATTACCTCAATGTATCCAACGAGTTGCCCGATTTAGAGATGTTTATAGATACAAAGCTTAACACACACACACACAAAAAAAAAAAAAAAAAAAAACATTCAAGCATTTAAGAGTGGGCGTTGGAATCACAAGGGAATGGATCAGAGCATAATGAATATCTTTAATCCTAATGAGTTCTCCAAAGATCATATCTCACGTCCTTGAATTTCATCAACTAGATATTAATTGAGATCTAGGTTAATATAATTGAAAGGAATCATCGAGTTTTTTTTAGGGAACTGGTCGTGTCAATCAAGCATCAAGTGTTTCCATTAGTATATCGACGCCTATATATATATATATATTACCAATTTACGGGAACCAAAACCCAAATTACTTATTATAAATTACTTCGTATTACAACAAGTAAGAGGTAATTTCATGATCGCTGGATAATATCAGCTGGTAAAGGAACTCTCCTGACGAGAAATCCATGTGCTTATATTCGGTCGCGTCCATGCAGCCATCAGAAAGGTCGGACGTTGATAGGGCCTCCCATAAACTCCATCGTCAAAAACGATCCAGTCACTGACGGTATTGACGTTTTCGTCGTACGCCACGAAAGAGATACGCTTATCTCGGAACGCGAGTTTGCACCAGAAAAGTGTCCCGCCGAAGATTTTCGGCCCGAAGCTCCAGTTGATGCTACCCCCGGCGGGCACCGCATGGGCTCCGAGGTCGTCGTCTTTGGATCGACAGTGCACAATCAATACTTTTTGTGGTAATTGATTGGTAATGTAAACTGTTGCCTGAACCGAAGGACGTACCATAATGATGAACATTATGGTCGCCAATGCTACCGCCGATAACAATGCTTTGTTGATCACCATGGTGAAACAGCTAGCAATCTGATTCTCTTACTTATTGATTATAGCTATCTGACTGAGTGCATGTGTGTGCATTAATGCCATTCTTTTTTATAAGGCCGGTGCTGGATTTTGCTTGTTATTCTGCGACGGGAGATGTTGTCATTTTCGGCATATGATTGATGCCGTTTTCCAAGGGAAAAGAGTTACCAGTGCTGGAAACTCTTTCTGACTTTTCGCCGGCGATGCCAAATTAATCCAAACCGGACGGCCGGGCTTGTCCAACTCAGAAGAGATCAGCGGGAGGTGGAGAGAAACGGGAGGACCTCATGCTTCATCTAATGAAAACAAAGTTATTCGTTCCCTGAGAAACGAAACTTAAGCGCATCGTATGTGCGTGTTATCTCATGTTTAAAGGTTACGACACGAATACTTTAGGTTATATCATATTGACAAACTAAAGCTATGGCATCAAAAGTGTTAGATGCATGGGACTTTCGCGACTAGATGAGAAAGTGGATGACGGATTATAGCTTAGATGTGAACTTATGTAATAGAACGAATGAGAAAGTGGATGGCGGGTTTTAGGTTAAAAGTGGTTCGTTTTGGCAGTATCAATCATCCTCGGGGTCTTGTGCTGGAAATGTCAAGTTACTCGGTGAAAAAAGTGTGGAATTCGATTCGGCCAAAGCACCCTCCGCCTATTTGGAAGGGAGTTGGTATACCTCGGAATAGATTTCTGGTTTGGTGGATTGCAAAGGGACGAATCAATACTAGAGCTAAGATGGTGGTATGGGGTTATCAGTAGGGGTGGCAATACGGTCCGGTCCGGTTAAATTGACCCGAATTGATCCGGTCCGGTCTTTTTGGAAATATGGGGACCAAAACTTGGATTGGGTACAGTCCGGTTTTGACCCGGTCCGGTTTTGACCCGGTCCGGTCCCAATCCGGTTTTGACCTGTTTTGACCCGTTTTGACCATGTTGCAAAAAATTCAGCAGCATATACCTATTTCCTGGAATGTAAACAACCTGTTTGTAGCAAAAATCAAGCCAAATATGGTCCAATACAAAATCACAACCATCATTGATCATATTCCAAAGCAAAGAAAAAGTCTCAGAGAGAGAGAGAGAGATTCCGAAATCTCTTCGGCAACCGTCCGGTGACTCCGCCGTCGTCATCCTCGGCCAAACCGGAGAGCCCCTGCCGTGCTCTGCCGTTCAATCGCTCTGCCTTTATCTCTCCGCCTTCTTTCTTCTTCTTCCGATCAAAATCCAGAGACCCCGATCTGCCGCGTCCGTAACCAGATCCGATCCGGCGATTAGCTCCCTCCGCAGACTCGTGAGCTCGACAACGACGAAGACAGAGTTGGGGGCGGAGGCTTCCTTTTCCTGGGTCGCGACGGGACGGAGGCTTGCAGGCTGCAGCTGGGTAGCAAGTCGCGACATCACGTCACAGAGAACGAGTCGCGACCAGCAACGAGAGAAGAGAAGGTCGCCGTCGTGATGGTCCGAGTCTCCGAGACTCCGTCGACGGCGCGCTGGTCCGAGAGTCTCCGATGGCGATGGGCGTCGGGCGATGCTTTCAGTCTCGAGGGAGAGGGAGGCGGCAGGCGGAATGAAGACTGAAGAGAGGTTGGTCAGCTCTCAACCCTACAGACGACAGAGAACAGAGGCAATGGGTTAGTGGGCCTGGGTAAGTGGGCCGAGAGGCCATGGGTATTGGGTTGGCCTGTCCCTGGGCTGGGCTCAAAATAAGCCTCTAAATCTGTTTTGTAATTATCCGGTCTTCCGGTTTTTAAACGGTTTTGACCCGGACTGGATTGGTCCGGTTTTTTTGCTAATTCTAGGACCAAAGACGGGATTGGATTGTTTTAAATCCGGTCCCGGTCTTAAAACGGTCCGGTTTTTACGGTCCGGTTTCCGGTTTTCAATCCGGTCCCGGTCCAAACTGCCAGCCCTAGTTATCAGGGTGCTCTGAATTGTGTGTTCTGTAACCACGATATATAAAGTCTCTTTCACGTACTGCTCGACAAGGCATTTCCACGATTCCTCTGTTCTTCTTGGAGCCAGGAGATGGAATGGGTTGTCAAAGCTTTTGCATGCTCATCTACATTGAAGGAGGCAAGCCAGCTCATTTGGAGTTCTCTGGTGAGCAATCTCTGGTGTGAGTGATGCCTGTGGATTTATGCTGGGGAGAGGATGTTCTTTGTAGGTTAATAAGAATGAAACTAGTGTGCTAATTGTGGATAAAGTTGGGGGTAGTTTCTTTCTCCTTGTTTGGCTTTAGTCTAGGGTTAGTAGTCGTTTTGTTACACATGTATAGCTCCTAGTTGGTTTGGGTTGTTGCCAACAATCCCTTTTTTCAATGATATAACATAATCCAATTCATAAAAAAAAAAAAAATAAAAGACAAAATACAATGGTGAATGCGAGAAAATAACTTCTTAGGCCTCTAATCCTAACTCCAAGCAAAATTCTCAAGTTTTAGTTCCAAATTTGACCATTCCAGCCACGACTTCATAAAGCAAGTGCATGAGCTTTTCTCAAGCTGTGAACAATTCACTAATGGCTAATACTCATAACAGGATTTTTCTACCTCAAGGTTATCAGATTAAAACTCAAGTTATGAGTATTAGTAGAGGTGGCAAATGGATTGATCCATGTATTGGTGGATTGGATTGATTGATCCATATATCAAATGGATTAGATCCAATGGGTTGGTGGATTCATGGATTGGATCAAGTGAATTGGTGGATTATCCATGAATCCAAAATGACATCCTCAACCAAGGACCAATATGTAAAATGTGAAAAGTTTAGGTACTAAAGTGTCGTAATACAAATTTTGGTATGTGTATGAAAGTTTAGGTACCAAAGACATTTGAACACAACATTTCTCAGTAAACAAGACTTTTTTTTTTTTTTTGGTAGCACAGTAAATAAGACTTTGATAAATAAGACTTTGATACTATATTATGAATTTATTTGTCCCCGATAATTCAAATTGTTACAAAATAAAAGTAAAAAATGCATCCATCTTATATCGTTCCATTACAAGACCTCTCGATACAATGCCACCTGGTAAAGGCACTCCGCTGAGACGACAAATCCATGCGCTTATATTCTGGGTCGCGTCCATGCAGCCTTCAGAAACGCCGGACTATCAAAGAGCTTCACATAAACTCCATCGTCACGAACAACCCAGTCTCTGAAGGTTACGATGCTTTCCTTGTACGCCACGAAAGAGATACGCCTGTCTTGAACCGCGAGTTTGCACCGGAAACGTGTGTTGCCGGAGAGATTCGGCACGAATCTCCAGTGGATGCTTGCCCCAACGGCTACCGCATGGGCTCTGAGGTCGTCGTCTTTGGATCGACAATGCACGATCAGTATTTTTTTGGTTACTTGATTGGTAATGTTAACCGTTACCTGGACCGAAGGACGTGCCATAATGATGATCATTATGGTCGCCAATGCTACCGCCGGTAGCAATGCCTTGTTGATAACCATAGCAATGCTACCGGCGACGGTATTATCGTGTGATCGATCAATGCCCGATTCCCTCTTTATAGTGCTTGATGTGTTGAAGAGTAGAAGATTAATTGATGTATTGGAAATGCCGGTGCTGCTTTTGCTTGTTATTCTGTGACGGGAAATGTTATCGTTTTCGACATACGCTGATGATGCCGTTTTCCAAGAGTTACCGGTGCAGGAAACTCTTTGTTACCCTTTCAATTTTTTTGCCGGCGATGCCAAAATCATTCCAAAGCGGGAAAGAGTATTGTCTCATCTTGGTTCATCTTAAAATATTGTCTCATCTTAGTTCCGATCCTTTAGTTACAAGGTGGAAAGAGTATATCAAATTGACAAAGCATGAGAGAGATCTATGGTTAATAAACAAGAACCCGACCTTAACTGACACGACACGTTTTGGGGTGAAATGGAAGAGTTCTTGTGAGAACTCAGAAGTTATACGTGCTCAGTGTGGAGTACAACAAGGATGGGTGACCTTGTTAAGTCACCTTGAATTGCACCCCAATGCGTGAGGGTTCTGAGATCATGTAAAGAATCAATTTGGACGAATAACTCGGATTGTTAAAATAAGTTCAATTATAACTCATAATACCATTAACGTAACTAACATTCTAAGCGTACGTTTGTGCTATCTCATGTCTAGAGGTTTTGCATGAAGACTTTAGGTAAATAATATTGACAAACAAAACCTATGATGACATCATAAGTATAGCTATGCCTGAACCCTGTAAATTGTTGGTCTCTCGCCCTCCAACTAAATAGATTCTCAAAACAGCTCAATATTAGTAATGTGGATGCTCAGCGGATTCCTCAGATGAGATCTTTCGAAATCGATGAGAGTACCACACTGGAGTTCCTCAAAAAATTATGCTTGCACCGTCACCAATATTTATGGTTCTTAATTAATACTTACGGGCACCAATTGCTGAAGATCGATCTATGTCGCCTTTTCGATGGTAGTGCTCAACATGGCTTTTCGGGTAGGATTGGTTCAATCAACTACATTCATTGAGACAAGAAAAAATAATATGACTGCGTGAACATGCCAATATATATACTCGATACAAGAAGAAATTAAACATTGTCACTGAAGTTGTAGCGTCATATGACACATACATTTGACCTGTCATCTTAGGAACACATGGATCGAACAATATATAAAGTTGCGTGAACATGCCAATAGATATCACAAGCATTAGGCCATTTGGGCATGTGGCTCTAGATAGAGGTTATTTAGAAAAGTGCAATTGAAATTTGAAAACCACATTTATCATTTCGATATTATATCATGAAATTTTTGCTACCGAAAACTCAGAACGTTACAACATAATAAAAGTTAACAAATGCATATTATGTCATCCCATTACAAGACGTTTGCGTTACGGTCGCTGCTTCCATGCAGCCTTGAGAAAGGCCGGACGGTGATTGGGTGTCCCATAAACTCCGTCGTCACAAACAAACCAGTTCCCGTAAGTTCTGATGCGTTTTTCGTACGCCACGAAATGAATACGCTTGTCTTCGACCGCGAGTTTGCACCAGAAAAGTGTCCTGCCAAACATATTCGGCCCGAAGCTCCAGTGGATGGTTGCCCCAACGGCAACCGCATGGGCTCCGAGGTCGTCGTCTTTAGATCGACAATGCACAATCAGTATTCTCTTGGATAAGTGATTGGTAATGTAAACCGATGCCTGGGCAGAAGGACGTGCCATAATGATCATTATGGTCGCCAATGTTACCGCCGCTAGCAATGCTTTGTTGATAACCATTGCAATGAATTTTCCAAGGATTGAAAAACCGTTACGGTTCTTCAATCATTGGTTGTATTTTTCATGATCGGTCTATGCCATTCCTTTTTTATAGTGGTTGATCTGATGAAGAGTAGAAGATTAATTGACGCATTCGTAAACCCGGTGCTGCTTTTGCCTTTTTTTTCTGTGACGGGGGACAATGTTGTTTTCGGCATACATTATATTATAGATGCCGTTTTCCAAGTGTTACCGGTGCAGGGAAACTCTTATATACTGACTTTTACCCTTTAATTTTTTTGCCGGCGATGCCCAATCATTCCAAACCGGACGCCCGGGATGGTCCAACTCAGAAGAGATCGGCGGGAGGTGGAGAGAATGGGGGGACCTCATGGTTCATCTTATAATATTGCCTCATTTTAGTTCCTAACGAAAACAAATCTATCGTTTCCTGAGAAACGAAACCTAAGTGTGCGTACGGGCTATCTCATGTGTAGAGGTTATGACACTCACAGTCACTTGTGTCATATTTTATTTAATATTTCATTTCTATCCTAAATTATGTTTTCGTTAATAATGACAATGTTGACCGTTACTATTTAACTGAAAATCTAATTAGTGGCATCTTACCAGAAATTTTGAATCAAATTTTTATTTTCACTTAACCGTAAGACCACCTGCCACCGGAATTCCGGCGGCATGACCGACCATCATGAGCCACCACCACCACATATCCTCATTCCATTACTGCCCCAGTGGAATTAGGCCGTTTGGGGGTATGGTTTTGGATGTATTTAGAAAAGAGCATTTGAACAGAATTGATGAAGGAAATCAAAGGGCCAATTTCATGTGCTAAGGCCAAGGAGACGAGAGACAAGTTTGCAACGTATTTGAGTTGTTATTTTATAAGCATTGACACGGAGCTATTCAAGTGCAAGGCATTTATGTCATTGCAAGTCGTGGAGAAAGAATTGCGAGAAGAAGGATTGATGGATTGTTTTGGCATTTTAGGCCTAAACTCGGCCTGAATTTGTTATTTGCTTTCAAAGTCAGTTTACTTTGGTGTTTTCCTTGTTATGCTCGGATTTGGGTTGTTTCATGCATAATTAAAGGGCTGAACTCGTTTGTTTGAGGGTTAGACGACTATTATTAAATTTCAGAAAGCTTTTGCTTATTCTCTTTGTGGATTTTGCCCTAAATACTCTATTGAGAATTCTGGAGTGTTAGAGCGAATCTTATCAATTAGGTATACACCCTAATTGTGGCGAGCTTCCACATCAATTACTCTTAATTTCGAGTTGAGATTGTCCGATCGATTCTTATCCATTGCCCCTTTTCACGAGTGAATTCAGTCCGATTGATTTCCATCCTATCTTGGTTCTATCTTTTGGTTCAAATTGCTTGGTTTTGGCGACTTTGATTGTATAAAAAATATTTCTCAGACTTTGATATTCTATTATGAATTTATCAATCCCAATAACTCAAATTGTTGCAAAATAAAATATATAAATAAATACATCTTATATCGCTCCATTTTAAGACCTCTAAAAAAAATGCCACATTGCAAAAGCACTTTCCTGACGAGAAATCCATGCACTTACATTATGGTTGCTTCCATGCATCCTTCATAAACATCGGACAACCATAGGGCCTCCCATAAAAGTGTCCCGGCAAACAAATGCGGTCTGAAGCTCCAGTGGATGGTAGACCAATTTGCTACCGTGTGGGCTCCGAGGTCGTCGTCTTTGAATCGACAATGCACAATCAAATATTTTTTTGAGTTAATTTCATTGGAAATGTAAACTGATACGTACCTGGACCGAAGGACGTGCCATAATGATCGTTATGGACGCCATTGCCACCGCCGCTAGCAATGCTCTGTTGATAACCATAGCAATGCTACCGCCGGTATCTTGGCAAACCTCCTCCACCTCAAGCGCAGAGCGCATTTCTCGTGAGATCTTCTGAACCAGCAACAAGCAATCCGTTTCCACATCCAGAGCAAAAAAAACTATGTCGCTGTGCCAAATCCAAAACAAAAAGTATCTCCATCTCTTCGGCAATCTCTGGTGGCCACTGTCTTCGTGTTCTCTTCACTGCTGCCAATCGAAATTCGCCCCCGGTGATCACGAAAGACAACTCCTCACCCTGTGCCTCCTGTCTGAAAAATCGTTGCATCCACATTCGCTTTCGTTCGATCTATAACAGGGGGATTCTAGTGGAGGGATCTTTGGATCGGCAGATAAGTGCTCTGTCTTTGTTTAGATTGAAATTCATGGAGCCACTCCAATGCATGCGAAATAATCTCCCCTTCGTCCCTTTTCTTGTTGTTCCACAGGTGATTTTTATGCTCGTTCCAGATGTAACAGTCGACCACAAATAGAGATTCGATTGCCTCCACTTTCTCACTCTATCTTGGACCTCACAGCACCATTCCTCGCATGTACTTTCTTCTCCCTTACTGAAAAGTCTCTTCAGCTTAGAGGGTTGCCAGATTCGTCTTGTCCATCCACACTCGAGGAATGTATGGCATTCTTCGCAACCTCTTCTTGTTGGAAAAATTGAATCGAAATGCTCACTAACTCTCTTATTTCTTCACCTTCCCACAACTCACAATTGCTCAAACACTGCCTACTTTCTTTCTTATTTGCTTTGCTTTGCTTGGGATGAAGAAACCATTCACAAACCATAGCTATTTATAGCCAAGTTCCAACACTAAATTGTGGCTTATACTTTGCCACACTTAACTACCACTTTACACCTACTTAACCCCACAAATATCTACCCATTTTGGTTCTTCTTTTTTCTTCTTTTTTTTTTAATCCATAACTACCCACATTAATACACACTCTAGATAATTCCACACACATCACAACTAGAGTTGTGATGTTACATTTTTTTTATAAAACTTTATTTTTCAATACTTCCCCTTAAAGTTTAATTTACCATTACTCCGAATAGTGTTCGTATCATGCTTGAGTAGTGTCTTCACCACGTAGCTCAGCGTCATCAACATTCTTCTTCTTTGATCATTCCAAGTTCTATTTTAAACTCATCAAACTAGACTCACGGAAGTGCTTTACTGAAAGTATCTGCAATCTGATCTCCAGTCTTCACTACTTTCATCTCTATCTCTTCCTTCAGCACTTTCTCTCGGAGAAAATGACAATGAACTTCAACATGCTTTGTTCTAGCATGAAACACAGGATTCTCTGCTAACTTGATAGCAGATAAATTGTCACAATATAATGGAACCGAGTAATCAACTTATTGATGAAGGTCCTTCAAAAGTTGCACTAGCCAGGTGCATTCTTGTGATGCCATTGCAAAGAAACCATGTAGATGTGCCAAATCCAAAACAAAAAGTATCTCCATCACTTCGGCAATCTCTGGTGGCCACTGTCTTCGTGTTCTCTTCACTGCTGCCAATCGAAATTCGCCCCGGTGATCACGAAAGACAGCTCCCCACCTTGGCCTCCAGTCTGAAAAATCGTTGCATCCACATTCGCTTTCGTTCGATCTATAACAGGGGGATTCTAGTGGAGGGATCTTTGGATCGGCAGATAAGTGCTCTTTCTTTGTTTAGATTGAAATTCATGGAGCCACTCCAATGCATGCGAAATAATCTCCCCTTCGTCCCTTTTCTTGTTGTTCCATAGGTGATTTTTATGCTAGTTCCAGATGTAACAGACGACAACAAATAGAGATTCGATTGCCTCCACTTTCTCACTCTCTTGGACCTCACAGCACCATTCCTCGCATGTACTTTCTTCTCCCTTACTAAAAAGTCTCTTCAGCTTAGAGGGTTGCCAGATTCGTCTAGTCCATCCACACTCGAGGAATGTATGGCATTCTTCGCAACCTCTTCTTGTTGGAAAAATTGAATCGAAATGCTCACTAACTCTCCTATTTCTTCACCTTCCCACAACTCACAATTGCTCAAACACTCCCTACTTTCTTTCTTATTTGCTTTGCTTTGCTTGGGATGAAGAAACCATACACAAACCATAGCTATTTATAGCCAAGTTCCAAAATTAACTTGTGGCTTATACTTTGCCACACTTAACTACCACTTTACACCTACTTAACCCCACAAATATCTACCCATTTTGGTTCTTCTTTTTTCTTCTTTTTTTAATCCATAACTACCCACATTAATACACACTCTAGATAATTCCACACACTTCACAACTTTAACTAGTTGTGATGTTACATTTTTTTATTAAACTTTATTTTTCAATACTCCCCCTTAAAGTTTAAATTACCATTACTCCGAATAGTGTTCGTATCATGCTTGAGAAGTGTCTTCACCACGTAGCTCAGCGTCATCAACATTCTTCTTCTTGATCATTCCAAGTTCTCTTTTGAACTCTTCAAACTTGACTCTCGGAAGTGCTTTAGTGAAAGTATCTGCAATCTGATCTCCAGTCTTCACTGCTTTCATCTCTATATCTTCATTCAGCACTTTCTCTCGGAGAAAATGATAATGAACTTCATCATGCTTTGTTCTAGCATGAAACACAGGATTCTCTGCTAACTTGATAGCAAATTGTCACAATATAATGGAACCGAGTAATCAATTTCTTGATGAAGGTCCTTCAAAAGTTGCACTAACCAGGTGCATTCTTGTGATGCCATTGCCGTCGCTCTATATTCGGCGTCTATACTTGATAACGAAACGGTCGGCTGTCTTTTACTGCACCACGACACTGCTCCTGAATCGAGTGTGAACATATATCCTGTTGTCGAGCGACGAGTGTCTAGGTCTCCAGCATAATCAGCATCACAATAACCTTTAAGTTTGCACTCTACTCCCTTCTTGTAAATTATCCCATGATCAATGGTTCCCTTGACATATCTCAAAACTCTTTTGATGATCTCAAGGTGAACCTTCTTGGGATTCTGCATGAAACAGTTAACGACTCCAACTGCATAAGAAATGTCGGGACGAGTCAGAGTTAGGTAGATTAAACTACCCAAAAGTTGTCTTTACATCGTCACGTCTTCTAAATCTTTTTCCTCTTGTGAGTTGAGTTTAACGTTAGCCTCCATCGGTGTTGTCGTTGGCTTGCACTATTGTAGCCCGAACTTCTCTAGCAACACTATGGCATATTTCCGCTGACTAAGAAATAAGTAATCTTCTCTTTTCTCCACTTCAAGTCCAAGAAAGTGCTTCAGCTTTCCAAGTTCCTTCATTTGGAACCTTATGGATAGATTTGTTCAAGTTTGGTTGATTTCTTCTT